CACACACACTCACACACACACACTCACACACACACTCACTCACACCCACTCACACCCACTCACACCCACACTCACACCCACACTCACACACTCACACACTCACACACTCACACACTCACACACTCACACACTCACACACTACTCACACACACTCACACACACTCACACACACTCACACACACTCACACACACTCACACACACTCACACACACTCACGCTGAACTTGTTCGTGAACAGTGCTTGTTTTTCTGTCTTATCAGCTGTAGTTGTGTTATCGGCATTAAAACAAAGCAGGTCACTGCACTGTAATCTGTGACGTACAGCAGCAGAGTGTTTACAGATGCTGAGGAACGAGCAGAAAGCAGACGGGATCTTCACGTCTCACTGTACTGCTGCTGCTGCTGCTGTCCAGACTCCAGGTTGTGAAATACATCAGTAATGCGCATTAGCGCTGGCCGGTAAACAGCCTGCAGAAACTACTGACTGCACAAAATCCAGCAGAAGAACACACAAAACCAGACGGAACCAGACCTGTGCGCCTGTTTGGGTCTGGATCAACCGTTTGGACTCCAGCACTATCATATTCAAAAGCACCAGGACTTTTACAGCTGTTTGTGATTTACTGCATCAGGATTTCTACAAACATTTTCACTCACAATTTCTGCCTGACAAAATCTTTAAAAATGTACATTCATTATAAATTAAATGATAAATTACAAACATCATAAAAAGATTGTTAATTCCATGACTTTTCCGTTTCAACAGCTGTTGAGGAGGTGAATTAAAATTAGAAATATCTTGATTTTTTGTAGTTTTGGCAGTAATACTTTACAACAAGCTTTCAATTGTTAACATTAGTTAATGCATTAGTTAACATAACATCCTCATGCTCCCGGAGCTGCTTCTGTGTACAACTGTTGACGCAAGCTACATTAAAGTGATTATTACGTTTTGAATATGGACATTTTTCAAACAAAAACGCATCTATTCGCTACAGAAGGCCTTTGTTCACCCCCCCGGAGCCGTGTGAGACTTTTTTTTATGGATGGGCACTTTTTATTTCACTTCTTTTGGACTGAAGCATGCAACACCCGCTGAGTGCCATTAAACAGCTTGAAAGATCAAAGACAATTTTAAATATAACTCCGACTGGATTCGTCTGAAAGAAGAAAGTCATTTACACCTAGGATGACTTGAGGGCGAGTAATTTATGGGGTAATTTCCATTTTTAAGTGAACTAACCCTTTAATGAAATGCTGAATATCCAGTATACGTACCGATCAAAATTTTGTTTTTGAAAGAAGTCTCTTCTGCTCACCAAGTCTGCATTTATTTGATCAAAATTACAGTAAAAATTATGAGATATTATTACAATTTAAAACAGCAGTTTTCTATGTGAATCTCTGTTAAAATATAATTTATTTCTGTGATGTGCAGCTGTATTTTCAGCATCATTACTCCAGTCTTCAGAGTCACATGATCTTCAGAAATCACTGTTCACTCACCAGCGTACATGTGGAAGGTCAGCCGCTCGATGAGCTTCAGCACCGTTCCGGCTTTGATGATGGGAATGCCGGATTTGGACTGGACGTTCTCCTCGAACACGACGTTCTCCTCAGAGTCGGGCTGGGCGAAGCGGTACACCTCGGCCCCGGGGAGCCTCATCTGCTCCTCCTTCTCCTCCTGCAGCATGGCCGTGTCCAGCATGCGCTCCAGCGTGGAGCGGTACTGCAGCGAGATCAGCGCCGCCATCCAGCCGTTCTTCTCCTCCGCAGATTTAGCAGCAAACACCACGCTGTTCCCATCCTTCAGGATGATCTCGAAGGCGTGCCGGTACTCGCCCTCCTTATCGTCCTTGTCATTGATCTGGACCTGTTCAAGAACACGTGAGCGTTTAGAACGTTTACTTTGAATGTGATGTTTTGCCAGAATTTTTTTTGTTTTAAATCAAGGAAATATTAGCAAATGTGACAACAAGGGCTGTCGATTTAATGTGTTAATTTGGTGCGATTAATTACGGAAAAAATAACATTAAAAGTCCGTCATCTTACATCGATGAACCGATCAACATGATGCAGGATGACTGACTGACTGAACGAATCAAGTTTTGAATGAATCAAGTGAGCGAATGATTCAGTGACTCATTAAAAAAAAAAAAAACAGTAATTTGCTTCGTTTCTGAATGAATCAGCCGTTTGAACAAATCGATTGAATGAATGATTCAATGACTTACTTTTTTAATAAAAAACAAATTAAATCAATGTTGAATCAAAATGTTTCCTTCTAAAGATACTTTTTGTAATGTCTATTCAAAGGTTTTCTCATCTAACACAATAATGATGACTTTAAATTTTCAGGGTGTCATTTCTCAGTCAAAATTAATGTGTGATTCATTTGTGATTAAATAATTAGCTAATCATGTAATAAATTAGATTCAAAATGTTACAATTAGACATGCTGACAACAGTGTTGGGGAAAGTTATTTTTGAAAGTAATGCATTACAATACTGCGTTACTCCCTAAAAGAGTAACTAATTGCATTACTTAGTTACTTTTTTAGAAAAGTAATGTGTTACGGTACTTTTGCATTACTTTTTCTCATCTTGGCTGGCCTCATTTTTTGCTGTTTAAATATTGGCTCGGAAATATTTCGCATGTTTCTTATTTTATGTTATATATGAATATACAGGATATGTTTAAGACAATATTTGCCTTCATATTTCATGATTTATTTATTTATTTGCAAAGATATTTAACAAATAATTAGTTTTTTGTTTACAAATAAAAATGACGAGTTATTGAATCATTCATTTAACCGATTCGCTGAAACGGCTGATTTATTCATAAACGAAGCAAGTGACTGTTGTTATGAATGAGTCACTGAATCATTCGTTCACTTGATTCATTCAAAGCTGTGGATTCATTCATTCAGTCGTCCTGCATCGTGTCGATCAGTTCATCATTGACGGGTGTGTTAGATGCATTAATCATATGATCATATTTTTTAAATAATTAATCGCACCAAATGAATGCATTAGATAATTGTAACGTTTGCTAATATTTTATTCAAAACCTCAATTCCTAGATTTTAAAAAAGCGAATGTTACTTGAATCGTGTTGTAGTGTCATTTTAAGTTGATTAGTTAAATGTAAAAAACAAAATCGAAAACATTTCCTGCCGTCTGCTCACCTTCCTCATGAAGAACTTCTCTTTGAGCCGGTACTCGGCGGCGCTGGCTCCCGGCAGACGCGGCTGGCCGTGGTTGGACTTGCAGCAGATCATGAGGCCATCGAACAGGAAGATGTGGCGCTCGTGTTTGGCGCCGACCCGCGTGAGCGTCCCCTCCATGATGAACTCGTTGCAGCACTGGCCGATGTCTTTGCCCTCCCAGCCGTCGATGTTCCTCTGGATCTCATTCATCTTCTTGATGACCAGATGTTTGCCCTTCATCTGCTGGCTGTAGAAGCGGCACGCCGACTCGCTGAGAGACACAGGACAGACAACGGCAGAAAAACAGGCCTAATAAGCTGAAACTCATTCTGAAATCCCAAGCTCGATCCTTTAGTCTGTGCTGCTCTCAGTTGATTCCTGAACTCCACTAAACTTAATCTGTAGCGCCTGTAAGTTACTTCTGATTTGAGCTTACAGTTTCTCTCAGTTTTATCACTAAATGTGTTTTTGTCACTCTGTAACGTGTGCGGTCAGATCACTGATCATCTCTTCCTCTTTACTACTAGTTATAGCACCAAATAAACATGAACGAGCATCAGAAGAACTCACTGAAATCAATCATGAATCATGTAATCGATCAATCAGTGTTTCAATCGCCGAAAGACATCAATAAATCAGCTTGAGATCAATAATGTCACGTAACGTCACATTTACCTCAGAAAAGACATTCGGTGAACATAAACTTGATATTTATGACTCTACAGTACAATAAAGCATTTTGATAAATATATGCACTGTATGACATATTCATTGTATTTTACTTAAACTACCGTCTTTATTATTGAATGTATGTTTGAATAAATGTGCCATGAAAACAAGTTTTTACTACATACACTGGTTAAATGTTCGTTTCAACAACGAATTGGAGTAGAAACATTTAAAAGTTGACTTAAAATCTGCCTTATGTACAATTAAAATGTTTGTATTCAACTTTGAGTGCTGATTATTATAATTAAACAAAAACAAATATAAATTTAATAGTTATTTAATAGGATATTTAATTAGATATGAATTAGTAATTTAACAGAATTTAATATTAACTCTGTTGTTAATTTTAACCCTTATTATATTAACGTACCAACTAATTTATTTTTATTTTAGTATAATTGAAATATTATTATAGTTTCTATTAATATTTTGAATTCATTTTAATTTTAGTTTAAAAAAAATTATTTATTTATTTTTTAATATGTCTATATAGCTTTCATAAATTTTTACTTCAGTTTTAGTTATTTCAGTTCATCAAATTAAACTAAATGAAAATGATAAATGTAGTCTAGGCAACTAGCTGAAATATAATCAGTATTTTCTTTTATTTCAGTAAAAATTTGTTTTAAGTAATAAAACTGTTTTGTTATGGTTTTAGTTAGCTATAATAACACTATTTCAGAGACTGGTTTCCTTAAAGGGGTCATATGATGCGATTTCAAGGGAGACGCGGTGTGTTTCTAGACGAAAGCAAAAGCACTTTATTTGGTCTTCCGGAAGTAGATGCATTTAGGAATCTTTAAGATCACTTACAACAGAACAGCAATGCATTTTATGGACGACCGTTTCGTGAACCTAGGAGAGGAGGTCATTCTGACTTTGCTATGACAATCTGGCGCTTCTGAATCAGCTACTGTTTTGTTATTAGTTTAAGTATTTGCTATTGACTGTTCAAATGCGGAGTTTTGCGCATGTGAGTGTGTGTGAGTACGCGTTTTTGTGACAACTGAGGAAATAAATGTGTATAATGACAAAGGTATGACAGGTATTACAAGGAGAAGGTGACTTTTCAGGACATTACCCCATGTCCCCACTTTTCAAAACGCTTATAAATCACACAGAATGGAGTGTATTGAAAATCTGAAATAGCAGAAAGTCTCCTGTGAGGGGTAGGTTTAGGGGTAGGGTTGGTGTAGGGCAATAGAATATATGGTCTGTACAGTATAAAAACCATTACACCTATGGAGAGTCCACACTTTTCACAAAAACAAACCTGTGTGTGTGTGTGTGTGTGTGTGAGTGTGTGTGTGTAAGTGTGTGTGTGTAAGTGTGTGTGTGTGAGTGTGTGTGTATGTGTGAGTGTGTGTGTGTCTACAAAAAATACTGAAGGAAAACATGAGCATCTCTGAGTAAAGTGAGCAGTACTATGACTGTAGAGGATGAAGAAGGAAGGGGAGATGAATCAGGACAGGTATTACAAGGAGAAGGTGACTTTTCAGGACATTACCCCATGTCCCCACTTTTCAAAACGCTTATAAATCACACAGAATGGAGTGTATTGAAAATCTGAAATAGCAGAAAGTCTCCTGTGAGGGGTAGGTTTAGGGGTAGGGTTGGTGTAGGGCAATAGAATATATGGTCTGTACAGTATAAAAACCATTACACCTATGGAGAGTCCACACTTTTCACAAAAACAAACCTGTGTGTGTGTGTGTGTGTGTGTGAGTGTGTGAGTGTGTGTGTGTAAGTGTGTGTGTGTAAGTGTGTGTGTGTGTCTACAAAAAATACTGAAGGAAAACATGAGCATCTCTGAGTAAAGTGAGCAGTACTATGACTGTAGAGGATGAAGAAGGAAGGGGAGATGAATCAGGAGTCCTGGAGGTTCTTCTACACCACTAACCTTTACATAACCAGTTTACAGTGGCCAATCAGCTTTAGGATCAACAGCCCTCCAGGACCTGAAGGAGACACGCTTCTACAGGAGTCTGATTGTCTCTGGTGTTACGGATCACAGGACGGGGACGAGGGAGGAGCTAGTTAAAGGCATCTTACTTCTGAGTGTGTTTGTGGACAGAGGAGCGCTGAGACCGCAGACTGTCCCTCCTCATGACAGCGTCTCACTGAACAGCGCCACACGCTGGAGCAGAGCCACACCGCACTATTACACTAGTATTACACTATTACACACCAGCTATAGGAACAGCTCACCTAAAAATTAACATGTGCTGAAAATGTGCTCACTCTCAGTTCATCTGAGATCAGGATGAGTGTGTTTCTTCGTCAGGTTTGGAGAAATGTATCACTGCATCAGTGTCTCACTGCAAGTGAATGGGTGCCGTCAGAATGAGAGTCCAAACAGCAGGGGAGATGAATCAGGAGTCCTGGAGGTTCTTCTACACCACTAACCTTTACATAACCAGTTTACAGTGGCCAATCAGCTTTAGGATCAACAGCCCTCCAGGACCTGAAGGAGACACGCTTCTACAGGAGTCTGATTGTCTCTGGTGTTACGGATCACAGGACGGGGACGAGGGAGGAGCTAGTTAAAGACATCTTACTTCTGAGTGTGTTTGTGGACGGAGGAGCGCTGAGACCGCAGACTGTCCCTCCTCATGACAGCGTCTCACTGAAGAGCGCCACACGCTGGAGCAGAGCGCACTATTACACTAGTATTACACTATTACACACCAGCTATAGGAACAGCTCACCTAAAAATTAACATGTGCTGAAAATGTGCTCACTCTCAGTTCATCTGAGATCAGGATGAGTGTGTTTCTTCGTCAGGTTTGGAGAAATATAGCACTGCATCAGTGTCTCAGCAATGGATGCTCTGCAGTGAATGGGTGCCGTCAGAATGAGAGTCTGATAAAAACATCACAATAGCATTGCATCAGTGTCTCACTGCAAGTGAATGGGTGCCGTCAGAATGAGAGTCCAAACAGCTGATAAAAACATCACAATAATCCACAGCACTCCAGTCCATCAGTTAACATCTGGAGAAGAGAAAAGCTGAAACTAATCCAGCATTAAGATGTTTGTAACTCAAATACCATTGAGTCCATAATAACTCTTCCTCAGTGAAAAAGTGTTCTGGTGTGAATCAGGAGAGAGATCTGCACAGATCAAGCAGCGTTTAAACAGCTCTAAACACATATGTGTCTGGATTTTGATGCGAGAGACAACAGCAGATGCACTTTTTC